AATACTATATAGTAAAGAAAGGTATCTAGTCTTTTAAATACTAGGGTATTAATCTTATTAGATGCTTATTAGTAATATTAAATAGTAATAAATATATTATTACTACTATTAACTATATAATAGGATAGGTTATTATAAAAGCTATTCTACATACTATAAATAAAATAATAATAAAGTTCTTATATAAAGAGATATTTACTTAGTATAGCATCTTTAATAAGATAGTATTTAATAATAATATAAACCTTCTATTATATATAATAGAAATCTTTATAAAAATCTTAAAAATAAAATACTAAATAATAATACTAAATCATCCCTATATAAATAGAAAGAATAAAAACCTTAATAGACTCTTAGGATAAATACTTATAAAATATTTAATAAGGAAACCAATATAGTTATAGAATAGATATCTTTATCTAGTAGTATTTATAATATAAATATATATCTATATAAATACTAGTAAAAGCCCCTTCTACCTACTATATAGGATTAAACTAAGATTACTAGGTGATATAAGAGAATTTATAAAGAAAAATAATTATAATAAGCTTATAAGAGTAATATATATATAAGTATTAGTAAATAAGAAGCTATTAAAATATATAATTAAGAGAGGGATAATCTAAGATTTATAAATAAAAAAAAATTATTTTAAGAAGGGCTAATAAATCCTTATATAAAATAAGAGCCTTTAAAAGTTTAAGAGTAAGTAATTTAAACTATATAAAATAATTAAGACTCACCCCCTTAGAATATATATATTATAGAAACTAGGTAGATATAACCTAAAGAATCTTATTAATAAATAGAGATTAGTAGAAGTAGAGGTAAGAGATAATCTATAATATCTATAGATATTAATAAGCCTTAATACTAGCCTATAAAAAGTAGGCCTATTAATCTTTAATCTAATTAAAATATAAAAGATACTTAATAAGACTAACCCTCTAATACTATTATATAAAGAACTATTATAGTGCATGGCAGAAGGATATAATAAATAAAAATATTTAGGAGAAAGTTTATAATAAGT